AACTACTTCAACCTGCCCCCAAGTGGTCCCCCAGCAGTGGTGACCATCGCTCTGCCACCGCCCCCTGGGATGCCCCCCCCACCCCCAGGTTTTAGGCCACGCATGTTCCATCCAATGGGACCACCTCCTCCTTTCATGAGGGCTCCAGGACCAGTTCACTACCCTTCCCAGGATCCGCAGCAGATGGGAGCTCATGCCGGAAAACACAGCAGCCCCTAGCACATTATCACCACTCTGGAGCTCTGTGGAAGAAAGAGTGCTTTAAAATCCCAGTATATGAATATTGGAATAAATACAGTTTTCCTTCCTTTGTAGTTTCCACGGTAGCTGGATGTGTTCAGATGTGAGCAGCTAGAAAATGACAGCCCTGCTTCCTTTCATGCATTCAGAGGATTACTGGACCTCAAGCTGCCACGAACACAGCTGGCTGCTTCTATAACATCACCAAGAAAACCTAATGTCTGTTCCCTTAAGCCTGTATAGGGAGGGACAAGCAGATGCATCAGTTGCCAGATCCAGCAGTTACCGTCCCAATTATAAGTTCATTTTGTAACCTCTTGGTGAGGGGCAGAAATAGACCAGCGGTAAAAATCTTTTGACCATTTTTATGACTATTGAGTATTTTCCTTTTTATCATCTTAAACAAAATTAGTACTAATCATTGTAGTGGTATAAGTGTGATTTAAGGATTTAACTCTTGGAAGTCACACCCTCAGAGAGACAAGCAGAAGCCAACACCCAGCACAGGCCAAATGTTTTCTTTCCTCTCCTTTTCTTCCAGTTTTACAGGAATCTGATAGTGTTACATCTTTCCACTCCCCCCGCAAAAAAAGACAAAAGTAAGAATTACTTTTTATTCCTATCGGATGGAAATACAAATTTTATGGAGCTGTGTATCATTGAAGAAGCCTAGTGTCTGGGATGAAATTATTCTGAAAAACTTCCTGTAAAACATTTTAAACTGAAAAGAAAAGCTCTGGAGTATGTTGGACTGGAAGACCTGTGACCTAGGACAGCTGAACTCTGATCTTCAGCATTCACCTGCGTGTGTCTTCAGCATCTCCCTGTAACCCCCTGCCTCTGGGCAGGGAACTATTTGGTCTTAGGATGTGTGGCTATAACTGAACTGTAGATGTAGGAGAAATTTGATGTGTTGTATTGTTTTTTTTTTTATTTTTTTTTATTTTTTATTTATGAGAGAGAGAGAGAGAGAGAGAGAGAGAGAGAGAGAGAGAGAGTGTGGTGTGTGTGTGTGGCCAGCTCAGCCCACCAGGGGGCAGGGCTGGCTGGCATGTGGTGCTGGGGGATTGAACGGCGGTCCCTGATGCTTTGCCAAGCTTGTTCTAAGTAGGTGCCTTAGACCACTGAGCCATCTCTCCAGCCCCTGTGTTGTATTGTTTTTAAATAATTAAAACGGGTCAGTTTTCAAAAAAAAGTTTAAAATTAAAAAAAAAAGACAACTAGAATAGCAAACGTAGTTCTGCAATCAGGATGGGGAATTACAATCTCTAACTTGAAATTATACTATAGGGGCCAGGGAGATAGCTCAGTTGAATAAGAACTTGCCTGGCAAGCGCAAGGGCCTGAGTTCAATCCCCAGTTCTGCCAAAAAAAATATACTATAAAACTATGATGATAAAAGCAGCATGGTATTGACCAAAAAACAGACCCAAAGATCAATGAAATAGACTAGAAAATGCACAAACAACTCCAAACATCCTCAGCCACCTTATCTTTCACAAAGTTGCCAAACGCATTCACTGGAAGAAAAGTAGACTCTTTAATAAATGCTGATAGGCAAACTGACTTTACATATGCCAAAGATTAAAATTTTGCCATGCTCTAAAATAAATGCAAAGGGGGGCCAGGGAGATAACTCAGTGGAATAAGCGCTTCCCTGGCAAGCGCAAGGGCCTAAGTTCAATCCCTGGTTCCGCCAAAATAAAATAAAATAAAATAAAATAAATGCAAAAAATGGATCAAAGATCTAAATATTAAGACAAACATTAAATCTCCTGGAAGACAGAATAAAAAAACTCTTGAAGAATTTTGTGTGGGCAAAGACTTGATGAATAAAACCCAAAACACACAGGATAAAAATAAATAAATAAAAATGGGATTTCATGTTATTTCAAAGATTTGCACAGCAAGAGCAAGCCCAGCAAGGAAAGAGACAGCCCACCATGTGGATAGAAATGTTTGACAGTTGTTCCTCAGATGAAGGATTACTACTGAGAACGTAGGAAGAAGTCAGACCCATCAGACCTCCCAAAGGTAAGGACCAAGTCCAAAACTGGGCATCTGACATGAGTCAGATGAAGAAACGCAAACAGCAAATAAATTCATGGACAAATGCTCAACATCACTGCAAATTTAAACAGCATTGAGATTCCACTTCACACGTGACATAATGACTATCACCAAGAAATCAACCAATAAAAATGGGGAGAGTTGGCTGGTGAGATGGCTCAGTGGTCTAAAGCACCTACTTAGAACAAGCTTCACAAAGCACAGGGACCGCGGTCCAATCCCCCAGCACCACATGCCAGCCAGCCCCGCCCCCTGGTGGGCTGAGCTGGACACACACACACACACACACATAAATAAATAAAATTTTTTAAAAATATATTTAAAAAAATGGGGAGCATCTTAGGGAAAACAGGCACCCTTCTCCACTGCTGGTGGGCTTGCAGACTGGTGCAAGCACTGTGGAAGTCAGTGTGGAGATTCCTCCCAGCAACTAGGCCTGGCGGTCCCATTTGATCCAGCTCTTCCCCTGCTGGGTGTCTTCCCACAAGAATTAAAGCATCCTGCCACAGTGATATATGTGCACCATGTTTATAGCAGCACAATTTGTCGTAGCTAAATCTTAGTAACAACCCACATGCCCTTAAAAGTTGTGGATATAAAAATATGTGGTCTTTTATATAAGGCGGTACTACCCAGGCATAAAGAAACTCAAGGCTTTTACAGGTAGATGGGTGCAACTGGAGACCCTTGTCGTAAGTGAAACACACCAGATGCAAATGTGTAAGCATCCTATTGCCTCCCTGATGTGAGAAGCTGAGAGTAGGATCCCAAATATACAATGGATTTGAAAAAAGGGAAAAACTAAGAGGGAAAGAGAAACTGGGTTGGGGAATGGAGAAAAGAAGGAAGAGAAACGCAAAAGGATATATCCCACGAGTTTCTCTTTGTTCACTGAGAAGCATTTCTTTTGCGGCGTGGGGTGGTGGGGCCTGGCGCAGGCTGCCTGAAGGGCGGGTGTAGGGCAGCATGTGGAGCTGGGATGCAGCCGTGCCCCCCGCACTGGCCGACTGAGTTTGCCCCAGGGGGCCCTTTAACAACTGAGCTACCCGGCAAGCCCCCAAACTTGAGAAGGATTTTTTTTCCTCTTTGTTCATTGAAAAGATGAGTCTCTGCTAGTACTGTGTGGACAATAAAATGTTGATATCCTGAACTCTGAGTAAGTAAAGATAACAATACCCAAGCTATTGAGCATTGTTATCTTCCTATCATATGAGGAATCATGTTTCTTGTTTTGTCTTTTCTCTCCCAAATGAAATTTTTAAAAAATTAGAGTAATTTCAGAGCCCACCCCCTGGAGGCACAGTCTATCTACTACGTGGGAAAGTAAAGCCTAGAGCGCGCTGGAGAACCAGTGTCTTTTTTTTTTTTTTTTTTTTTCTTTTGAGAGAGGCTCTCGCTCTGCAGCTGTCTCCGACTTGGAACGCTCTTTCTGCCTCAGCCTTCCAAGTGCCGGGATTGAATGGTGCACCACCACGCGGGCTTCTGCAGTGCCCTCTGGACAAACGCCCGGATGCGGGGCAGCGTCACCCCCTGGGCTCGGGCTCCGGCCCTTCCAGGGATGCTCCTGTGTCGCCCCCTGCAGGTCGCCACCGCTTGGCAGCCCGGCCTCTGCGGTGCTGCTGACGTCAACTTGTCCTGGCTCAGACAAGCCCCGCGTCGGCTGCGTCCCAGGACGGGCTCCCGAGCGCCACGCTCCCCCGGGCGCGTGTCCTTCGGGAGAGTCCCGGGCGGCGAGCGAGGAGGACGCCGCTCGGCCCTCGGGAGGAGGATCCAGGCAGCGAGAGGAGGCCGAGGCCGGCCGCGCTGCTCTCCCGGCCTCTGCGCGGGATCAGGGAGACTAAGTGACAAGGAGCGCCCGGGGCGGGAGGACAGGGTCCGGGCAGCGTCCAGGGTCCCAGCAGCGGCTGCCGGGGTCTCAGGCCAGGGCGCTGTCAAGGCGGGACCTGAATACCTGGGCGCTCCGGGTCTCCCTGGGGTTTCCGTCGACCTCTGCCTACCGGTGCCGGGTCCTCCTGCCTGGACACTGGTGACGCAATGCCTACTTCTCACGCCCATTGGATGCAGGCTCCAACACCATCCAGTCAGCGTCGCAGAGCTCCACGACTCGGAGCCCCCAACTCCCGAGGTTGGGGTGATGGCTCCCCGAACGCTCCTGCTGCTGCTCTCCGGCACCCTGGTCCTGACCAAGCCCCGGGAGGGTGAGTGCCGGGCCGAGGGAGGCGGGGAGGCGAGGGCAGGCGCCCGGAGGTCGACGTCTCACCGTCCCGCCCGCAGGCCCCCACTCCCTGAGCTACTTCCAAGTCTCTGTGTCCCGGCCCGGCCGCGCGGAGCCCCGGTACATGGAGATCGGCTACGTGGACCGCACGGAGATCGTGCGCTTCGACAGCGACGCCGCGAATCCGAGGATGGAGCCGCGGGCGCCGTGGATGGAGCGGGAGGGTCAGGCGTACTGGGACCGGAACACAGAGACAGTCAAGGGCAACGCGCAGGTTCACATATCGAGCCTGCCGAACCTGCGCGAATACTACAACCAGAGCCCGGAATGTGAGTGACGCCCGCCCCACGGACGGCCCGAGAGTCCCGGGTGTAAAGATCGGAGACGCAGGCTGAGGCTGCAGGACGCGCCCAGGCCCGGGTCCCACAGGCCCCCGTCCTGGAAGCGGCAGGGAGGAAGCCCGGGTTTCGTTTTCAGTTTGTGAGAAAAACCCGGGGTGGGGACAGCTTCTCAAACCTTCCAGAGCATGTATGGCTGCGAAGTCGGGCCCGACGGGCGCTTCCTCGGCGGGTACGTGCAGTACGCCTACGATGGTGCGGATTACATCGCCCTTGACGAGGACCTGAGCTCCTGGGTCACCAGGCAGACTGAGGCTCAGGAGACACAGCGCAAGTGGGTGAAGACCGATTTGGCAGAGCGCTTCAAGGCCTACCTGCAGGGCACCTGCGTGGAGTGGCTCCACAGACACCTGGAGAACCGGAATGAGAGCCTGCAGCGCGCAGGTACCAGCCCTGGAGACCTCCCATCCGCGCCCTGGCCGGGCAGCTGCCTCCAGGGAGGAAAGCGGGACCCTTCCCGCAGCACCGCGGGCCTCTCCCTTCACGGAAAGAGCGCTCCTGGGATTTCACAGCTGAGAGCAGGTCGCTATCCTGAGCCCCTTCTCTCAGGAGAGGAGAGTCTGTCCCAGCATGGAGGGGAGGACCCTGAGGTGCCCCTCACCCTGCCCTTCAGGAGGCTGTGCCCCTGCCCTCTCTCGGCCTGTCCCTGCCCCACAGTCGGGTCTGACTCCACCTGTTCTGACTCCACTCAGTCTCCACATTCTGAGGCCAGAGGTCCCCAGAGACCATGAACCTCCTCCCCTGGGCCCACTCACCCCAAGTCTAGAACTGTCTGAGCAATAGATTATCCCAGACACCTGTGTCCAGCCTGCTCTCTGGGGTTTGCAGTCCCCCAGCCCTCCTTGTCCTGTTCATTCTCAGGACGGTCACATGAGCTGCTGCAGTGGCCCAGGAAGAATGCACAGTGCCTGAATGTTCCCCTCTTCCCTCAGATCCCCCAGAGACACGTGTGACCCACCACCCCATCTCCGAGGAAGAGGTCACCCTGAGGTGCTGGGCCCTGGGCTTCTACCCTGAGGAGATCGCCATGACCTGGCAGAGGGATGGGCAGGACCTGACCCAGGCCATGGACCCAGAGGAGACGAGGCCTGATGGGAGTGGAACCTTCCAGAAGAGGGTGGATATGGTGGTGCCTTCTGGAGAAGAGCAGAAGTACACATGCCATGTGCAGCATGAGGGGCTGAGTGAGCCCCACACCCTGAGATGGGGTAAGGAGGGTGTTATTTATGGCTGGTATGTAGGGGACCTCCAAAACTTCATGTGCTTAATGGTGGGATTTGTTGGAGGTGAGTGATGCTGGATTCAGGGTCCGATTACTGGATCACTTACTCTGCTGATGGACTCAGGACTGCTCTGGGTGTGGATTAAGGAAGAGGGAGAACCTAGCCTGGGTGTGACAAGATCCACAAACAACTCACAGCGTGAATGCAGGGAAGAACGCAAGGCTTGCTGCTGCTGCTGCTGCTGCTGCTGCTGCTGCTGCTGCTGCTGCTGCTGCTGCTTCCTGTCTGCCTTGCCATGGGCTGTTTCTCCACAGTGACTCCCCTGCCAGGCCTCCCTGTCTGAAAGCCTTCTGACTCTGGGCTGAACCTCTGCAAACTGCACTGACGTGAACCTTTTCTCCTTTACCGTGCAGATGAGAAAGGGCACAGAAGGCCTTGTCTTTGGCATTCTCTCTGGAGACCCTCGCGGGTTGCAGAGCTCAGGGCTGCACCCCTGTCTTAGTCACTGTGTCATCTTTGGGACACAGTGCCTGTGCCCAGCAAACTAAAGAAGAAAGAGTTTATTTTCTCCCGTTTGTAGAAGTTTCAGTGAAAAGACACCTTGTCCCAGGAGGCACTGCAGGGCAGAGGGCCTGGCCCTGGAGAGCTGCTCACAGCCGGGCAGACAGGAAGCAGAGAGAGCAGTCGGGGAGCCCAGGAGAAGGGGAAGCCCGACCAGCCACAGCACAGCGGCCCTCCTCTTCTCCACACCCGGCTCCTAATCAAGTCAGTGCTGAGCCCCACAGTGCAGTCAGCTTCCACATTCCCCACATCTGCGTGAAGCTTTGGGGTGCACTGAGATCTAAAATTAACAGCCCCTTCCCTCCCCTCCCCTTCCCTCCTATCTGCCCTCTTCCCTTCTCAGAGTCTCCTCCTCAGCCCCCTAGCCCCATCCTGGGGGTTGTGACTGCTGTGATTGTCCTTGTAGCTGTATTCACTGGATTTGGGATGATGAGGAGGAAGAAGACAGCAGGTAGGGTGGGGTCAGCACCTTCCTGTTTTAGCCCCAGGGAAAGTGCAACCCCCACACTGTGGGACACCCCGTCCACACATAGGTGCTTGCCTGGCTTGTAGCCATGGACACTGAGCCTGTGGGGAAACATACAATGAGGGAGAGGTTTGTCACCTGAGGGCTGTGGTGCTGGGGCCATGATTCCCAGCAGTCAGGAGCACAGGGGAAGGTCCCTGCTGAGGACAGAGTTTTAGGAGGGCAGTTCACCCAGGTCCTGAACGTGTCCTTTCCTCGTGCCTCCTGATCCTTCTCTGGGTCTGCAGCCCCGATCTGGAAACTTCCCTGGGCTCCAGGCCTGGGCAGGTCTTCCAGGCTGTCAGGGTCTGTCCTCATCCCTGGCTCCTCACAAGGCATTTGCTTCCCACAGGTGTGAAAGGAGGGAGCTATGTTCAGTCTTCAAGTAAGTGTGGGGTCGAGGGCTGATTCCTGAGGGCCTTGGGATTGCACAATCAGGAGCCATGGGGATCCCCACCTCATGATCCCCCCTTCACCATGCCTGCTGTGGCCTCTGCTGCATTTGTGTTATTTTTTCCATCCAGGTTGTGACAGTGCCCAGGACTCTGATTCATCTCTCATGGCTTCTAAAGGTGAGACCCCAGAGGGCCTGAAGGGGTGGGGGTGAGGCTGAGGGCACAGCACAGTCACTGTCTGGACCTGACCCAAGGTGACCAGTGGCTCCTTTGTCAGTGTTTCTTTATCTTGGTGGAATCGGGAATTGAACTCAGGCCCTTCTGCTTGCCAGGGAAGCGCTTATTCCACTGAGCCATCTCCCCAGCCCCCTTGTCAGCGTTTCTTAGCACATGTCTGCTGTACACAATGCTCCTGCCCCTCCTGGGGAGTCGGTGCACACAGAACCCTTCTCTGCCTTTCGCTTCTCCCTGCCCGCCACTCCACCCCCGGCCTCCATCGCTAGTTCCCCTCCTGCGTGCAGACAGCCTCTCTTTCCTGTCAGCAGTGGGTTCTTCAGAGTGGTGCACGTAGAGCCCTGGCCCTGAATTTATGACTCCTCTGTCCTGCAGTGTGAGACAGCTGCCTTGGGGTGACTGAGCCACACCCGACTTCTCCAGCCCAGGCCTTGTGACCTCAAGAACACCCGAATCCCCTCCCTGCAAAGGCTTCTGAGTGTGTCCATGGACCTGTCAGCATTGGGGAGGATGTGGAGAGCGCAGCCCGGCCCTGGCCGCCAGGACTCCTTTGCCCACACTGACCCGTGTCCCTTCCTCATCAGCTGTCCTGTCCCAGCAGTCATGGGCTGGGAAGGCTCCAGCCATGTCATGGTGCCCTGAGCTGCCCCTCCTTCTGTGCTGTCCTGAGAACTGTCCCCAGCCTGGCCAGTGAGCCCCGTCCTGTAGTGGGTGCTGGTCAGCTGTGCGGTGGCCTCCCTGGACTGAAGCTGTGTGTGGACTCCAGCCCAGCAGGGTGGCTCACCCGGGCCGGGAGACAGCGCCTGCGGTACCAGGGGTGCTTCTCACCAGGATGAGATGGTGCACAGGGCGCAGCTTCCCAGGACCCCGCCTGCTTGGGATCCGGCTTTTACTTGAACAACAGGCCTGCGATAACTGCAGCAGCTAGCCAGGCGGGGCTGTGTGCAGCAGCCCTGCAGCCTGCAGGGCCTCTGCTGTCTGCCAGGGACAAGGGGGCTCTGAGTCTGCGGGCCCTTCTCAGAGGCAGGTTTCTTTCATCTTGCCAGGAAAAGCACACAACACACACTGAATGGAAGACTCAGAATCTACACTTGATTCATTAAAGAAGACTTGTAGCGTCTGTGTGTGGCAATAAACGGGAGCCCCAAGAACCAGCCCCTGTCTTGTTGCTGTGGTTTCTGACTCACGGGGTGGGGACTGGAGAAGGCCCTGAGGAGCCAGGGGTGTCTTCCATCTTTAGCAAATCTCCTCAGCCACACCCGGCACCGGGCTGACCCAGTGCAGCGGGGCATTTCTTACTCAAGTTGACACCATGTCACCTACCCCAGTGCACCCCTTGGCAACGTGAGGAACACACATATTTCCTACACCTCACCTCATCTCCACACACAAAGACAAGTTCATAACCACGCCCAACACGTCACAGCACTCTGTGCCCAGGCAGACACGCTACCTCCCGGCACTGCCCGTCCTGTATCCTCGAGGCAGTCATCCAGCACCCCGACAGCCCTGTTCTCCTCCCGGGGGGCAAGCACTCCTTCCCTCCTGAGCGTGGGGTATAATTGCCCACCCTGCCCGATTGGGGTGCTGCAGTTCTCCATTGCCCCTGATTACAGGACACAGCAATATGGGAAGGTGCTCTCAGCTACCTCCAGCTCTCCACGTATTTTATTCTTGTCTTCCATTGTGGAGTAATAGTCCAATGTCCACTCCATAGTCTGGACCCATCACTCCAGCCGACGCTGCAGCTCCCTTGTTAGCTTGTTGGGGCACGAGACACACGAAATAACCAGTAGGAAGGATCAGCTTCAAGTTCTATGGGTCATGGCTGTGTTCCCAGGTACCAGCCTCTCCCACCCTTGGGGGCTAAGACTTCTAGGTCAGCAGGACATAAGGTCATGGGATTTGGAGGCAAAGATATGCTAGGGGACCGTAGGAAGAATGGGAGTGTTACCATCCCCACTCCCCGCCCTGATTCTGGACCCCAGATCATGGGGTGAGAGACACCACACTGTGCAGTAGAAGACACTTCAAAGCACATAGAGGATTTTGCAGTAACCCTGCAAGCTCTTGCCACTTAGTTGGAGTTGTAACTATGGCCTCAAAAGGCTGGCTCTGGTGGAGTTCTCTCTCCTAAGCTGAGAGGATCTACCCAGGAACAGCAGGGTTCATTTGCACCTGCCAGAGGTTGATTTCAATGCCAGCCTCTACCCAGCCATCAGTTACCAAGCTGCAGGGGCCTGTTCACATGCCCCAAGGGGCTGCTGTACTCTCGCCTGGCCTCATCAGCAGGCATAATTACTTTCTACCTCTGCCTGCTCCCAACAGGCTATAGCACTGAACTTCCTCTTGCAGGGGTGGCTGCATAAAGTGCAAACGACCCATGATCCAGGCCCAAGCCTTCTCGTCCTCTGACAGTGGACACATGGTCCACCCCATGGGGCTACAGGTGCATGCAGGGAAACAGAAAGCAGTGTGGCTGGAGTGGGAGCCACAGCATCTGGGCACCTTCTTCATGAAGGTCCTGTGAGCTCTCACGTGCTCTGGCCAGCTGCACAATGACCTTTCTTTTATTGGAATCTTTATTTGTATTTTTTTGCCCCCCACTTGATTTTTTGAGACAGGGTCCCCTAAGTGGTGTAGGCTGGCCTTGAACACACAGTGATCCTCCTGCCTTCAACTCCCAAGTGGTGGGATTACAGGGTGTGACGCCACACCCAGCAGGTTTCTCATTTCTAAATATAATACATGTGACTCAACTTAAACTAAACATTAATCAGAGAGAAACCCAGAGGGCTGGCCAAATAGCTCAGCAGATTACAGCAACTGCAAGCAGGCACAGGGGCCGAGGGTTCAATCCCCAGGCCTGCCGTGCTGGACCCACCCCCAGGCCTGCTGAGACAGCAACTGAGACTGGGCGTGGTGGTGCACGCCTGTAACCCCAGCTCTTGGGAGGCTGTAAGCAAGTGGATCACTACGAGGCCCATCTAGTAGTGGGACTGAACACCCTGTAGACCCTTCCCTAAGAGAGCGAGAGAGAGAGAGAGAGAGAGAGAGAGAGAGAGAGAGAGAGAGAGAGCAAGAGAGAGAGAGAGCCAGGAAGAAATTTTCAAAGTTTCAGGCAGAGCATGTGTGTTGAACTGATGATCCCTTCATCTGCACAAGAGAAAGGGGACAGAAATCTAGGGGCCCTTAGTGGCCAGAGCCCCACACGGGCTTTCACACCTTCCTAGCCATAATCCACCCAAGCTAGGTGTTATCGCATGAAATTAATGATGAGGAGATGGACTGTCACAAGGCCTAATCATAGGTTCAGGTCATGCATCTGCTCAGCCAGGATTCACCCAGGCCTGGCTTCCATTTGGTTTTCTACTCTGTGAGTCCATTCACCCATGATGCCGCCTCTCCAGCCCACAGCCCAGGGGGAGCCACACTCGCACACAGGCCTGGGACGGGAAGCCCAGAGCAGGGCTGGCACCTGTCCATGGTCAGCACTCAGTTCTTCCCATCCAGAAAGACACTGTGGTTAGCAGCACTGCTGGGTGATAGAAGTCACAGAGCTGAGGGAAAGGACCCGGATGGGGGCCACCACCATGGAGTAAGGATGTGGAGCCAGGCAGAGCCTGATCTTCATTGCAGAGCCCGGCAAGGAGCCTCCCGTCTGTCCCAGGGCTGAAGGAAGACAAGGGCAGAGAGGGGCATCAGTGGAGAGGAGGCTTCAGTGCGGAGGAGCCGCAGGAGCAGCCTGCAGGGAGAGGACAGAGGACATCTGCAGGACGGGGGCTTAGCGAGAGACTCGGGAGGGAGCAGGAGTCCCAGCGACGCCTCCCTCGAAGCTGTGGCCTCGAGGTGCCCACCTCCACAGAGGGGCCTGGCCGGGCTGGGGCACCCTGGGGCTGTGGTCCCATCACCCACGTGGCCGCTGCCCCACTGTGGGCCCCAGCTACAGGGCTGGCTTCCCCCTCTGCTCTCCTCTGACTGTGACTTGAGAAGATCCCAGGAGCAGGCTGAAGCCACAGGAAGCCGTGACTGCCGGAGGTGGTAAAGCTTCCGGGTGACAACGAGTGTGAAAGTCGCTCTGGGCTTTACAGGGAGGGGCCTTGAAACTGGAAAGCAGAAGGGACATTTCCTCTTGGAGCTGTCTGAGTCAGGACTCTGTGCCCGCCCTGGAGAGCTAGTGTGTGCAGGGAGGGAGGGGGCCGCAGATGGGAGGGGATCAGAGCACACAGAGCCAGGGGGAAAGTGGCAGCCCGCATGGGGAGGCTGTATCAAAGGATAAAAAAGAAATTTGAGCCACAGAGATAGGTCAGCAGTCTAAGTGTCTGCCTGGCAAGTGCAAGGATGCGGTTTTGATCCCCAGTACCACATACTATGCTGGCCCTGTCCTGGGTTCGCACACACCTATAATTCCAGCTAGAGGGAGGCAGAAACTGGAGGACCACTATGAGTCCAAGCTGCATAGCAAAACTCTATAAGAAGTACATACATTTAAAAAATAAATAAGAAATGGTAGCATTACCATATACCATAGCACTAACAGGAAACAACGCCTTTGGCGGGCTGGCTCTTTAGTAGGCAGGACACAGCTGAGGCAAAGATCTTGGAGCTTCTGGACAGTTCTTCCATCAATAGAACTACATAACATTAAAAAGCAGAACAATCAAAGAAAATGGAACAAGATATTCAAGGGTTATGGAACAACTGCAAGTGACGAAACAGAAAAACAACGTTGCAAAGAGAATAAAGCGGAAGCGAGGCGGGGACGAGGGGCGCCTGAGAATGGAGGTCAGACTCCCGGGCGCTGAACCCGGAGGCTCACCAGCGCCAAGCAGGGCAGGCGTGCCCGACCCTGTGCCCGGCTCCTCCTGCTCCAGCCGCAGAACATCCGCTGGCACAGTGCCACAGGCCCATACTCCTGGCACACTGCGAGGCTGAGGCAAGAGGATCTCGGGTCAGGGTTCACATACAGGACGAGCCCACCTGAGAATAAAAACATTAACTGGGGAGGGGCAGTGCTGGGTGTGCCGCTCGGGCAAAGGCCCAGGGAGCAATCTCCAGGGCGTACAAGGGCCGGGGGAGCTCTAGAAAATCACAGGTGAGGGAAGGTGCTGGAAGACAGGAGGGGTCAAAACACCTTGTGTATACGGAAGAGCAGGATGAGGGTGACATCTGGCCTTCGGAGGCCAACCAGTCACGGGGACAGTTTGGTTGTTTGGTTTTTGTTGTTGTTGTTGAGGTTGTAGTTGTTGTAATATTCTTTTTTCAATTTTATTTGCATGTGTGTGTGGCCAGCTCAGCCCACCAGGGGGCGGGCTGGCTGGCATGTGGTGCTGGGGGATTGAACCGCGGTCCCTGTGCTCTGCTAAGCTTGTTCTAAGTAGGCGCTTTAGACCACTGAGCCATCTCACAAGCCCCAATATTCTTTTTTCAGATACTGAGTCTATGATGTGTTCAAAGGAACAATAGCAACAATATATCTCATTAGCATAATTTAAGTGATCCAAAATGATACAAAAGACAGCAAGGGGAATTTAGAAGTATTTTGTTATCAGATACCCAACTTGTGAAACCGCAGTGTTATTTGGAAATAGACTGACATTTTGTGAATGAGTGTTATAAACTCAGCCACAAAACATCATCAAAAGAAATAGACTTGATATACTAAAAAGGAAAGAAATGTAATTAACTTTTTCTATTATACACTAAAAAATAGAAACTAAAGACAAAAAACAGGGAGAGAAGAGGAATAAATGGAGAACAATAACATATGGTAGAGATTAATCCCACCATGTCAGTAATCACTTTACCATCAAAGGTCTAAAACCATTAATTATGAGCTAGAGACTGCCATGACAAGTCTAAACACAGCTCCCATCTCTATTTCATTTACAAGAAATTCTCTTTAAACGCTTGGACTCCTGCAGGTGAAAAGCGCACGGATGGGGCTGAGGGCGCCTCTCACCGTAGAGCATGTGTAGCAGCACCGCGAAGCCCTGGATCCACCCAGCACCAAGAGAGGGGCAAGAGTGCACCCTCGTGCAGAAAGCCCACCACATTAACACTAATGAAAACTAAGCTGGGGCCAGGGAGACGGCTCAGTAGAATAAGCGCTTCCCTGGCAAGTTCAAGGGTCTGAGTTCAATCCCCAGTTCCG